CATCATTCTTTCCACTGAGCGTGGCTGATTAAGTTTCTGGACGCTCCTGTGCCTAATTTTCGAACTGTGCAAAGGTAGATAATATCCCCAGGGTGCTTACCAAAGAGGAACCTTTTTTTTTGCGTCATTTCGGAGAAACAGGGTTGGGGGGACGAACAGACGGTTAACTAATGTATAGATCTGTACCATTAATGAGCCTGCAAGACGTGTGTCAACTCCATTGAGTAATGACAACGTTCAAGATGGACCGAGGCTCCAATACGCTGTAGGGGTAATTATCATTTGTAATCACAATTATAAAGGCGGGACTACAAAAATTCTATACTTTTGTACCGGAGCAGTACCCTCTGAAAAATCCAACGGAAGGTGTCCATGTGTGCTGCTGGTATGACTAGCTGCAGCTTGGTGGTAATCATACATACCAATACCAAGGTGCAATGGCATGACAACTTCCACAAATTTTGTAGAGTTAAAATAAATCCGCACTGACGGACACCTAAAAACAATTCTTTTGTCAAAAAGACCTGTTTTTGGTGTCTTGCTACACAGGCAAGCTGTCTAACGAAAATGTAGGCGAAACAGTTGGAAGAGCAGTCTCACGTCGAAGGAAATGCCGTCCAGGAAGTCCTCAGAAAAATGCAGTTGCAACTTAAGGCGGTCTCATGAACAGTTATTGGTTTTTAGAGTCGGTTGATCTGGTAAGGAGCCCTCCTGAGAAACCGTGAAGACAAGGTTTGCGGACTTTCGTCGAAGAATTCCGATCACTGTCACGAAATGCCCCATGTCCTGTTCGAGATACCTCGTTAATCGATTTACGGAGCACAGACCAACAACCACGATGAAACGAGTCGAATTTTTCTATTCTTAGACACGATTAAAATAGAATGAAAGATTAAGATTCTTTTGTGCGGAGGCCGACGGAGCCTCGCCAGCACCTCAGGTTCCACGTGCTAGCTCTCTCTTTATGACTGGCTTTTGTGGACATCTCGCAGCCTATACCAACACACAAGGACCCACTAATTTGAATTCCCTGCGAGTCTTCGCTCCTGTGACGTGTGTTTATTAGCATAAGGCACCAGAGGCCGTCCGTCCAACACGTCTCCTACTAACACGCCGGAAAATGTTCTGTCCCTTGCGTCCTGACGTAGAAACTTAAATTCCTTGTCCTGGGCCAAACTTCCGTGTGGATTAAATATTTATAATTTTACTGTGCGATCACGCCACTTGCAGTAGGAATAATGTTAACTTTACAGGCAATGCGCAAATCTGCAATAAATATTCCCGAGACAACTGGTGACGTCAGAGACGCATGCTGGGTTTTGTACTTTGTACAATTGTGTCCGGTGAGCCTGGATAGCTCAGTCAGTATAGTGACGACCGGGGTTCGATCCCCGATGGGGGCAGAGGATTTTTCCTCTAGCCTCTGCGTCCAGACCGGCTCTGGGGCCCACCCAGCCTCCTCTACAATGGGTACCGGGGTCCTTTCCCGGGGGTAAAGCCGGCCGGGGCGTGTTGCTGACCACTCACCCCCATCTAGTGCCGAAGTCAAGGAAGAGAGAAGCTATACCTCCTCTCCCCCCAAGCGCCTACATGGCGTATAGTGGGACAAACTTTACTTTTTTACTTTACAATTGTGTCCGAAATTGGAACGTGTCGACAAATTTCAGAAAATGTTTCCCAATATAAAATTTCGTGAAGCTGTGTTCAGCGTTTCTCAAACTGTTTCATGCTGACGGACGTATCAACAACGACGGGAACTCGTTTAAAAATTAGAACTGCAATAAATAAGAGACCTTGTTTTACGCACAGGGTGTGTTGACGGGGTTCGCAGCGATTATTTCCAGTTTTCTGTGGGGGTAAGAACTGAACATTTGCTTCCAAATTTCTGCCAGCCACCACCAAGCCAAATTCATTTGAGCTATATCAGCGACTACTCCATTAGGACGTTCTGCAGACGAATTTCATTAAAACTTCGTTTGGGCAGGGCGCAGCTGATGTGTGGGACAGACACACGGACATTGTGTATCCAAGAAATGCATTTAGGTTGGCTATGAACGGAACTCATGACGCTCGCTTCAAACTGGTACAGAAATACTAGAACTGGGAAGTTTCCTGACTTGTGCGTCGTTTGCCGACGGCTCAGCCTGCAAAGGGCCGCATTCAAGGACGTCGTACTGAAGAGGCTGGAGCTATTGTAAGGCTGAGGACTTTCAAACACCAGCTAAGTACACATGTGAGTCAAACAACAACCACGCCAACAGGTGGCTTCGCCAGCACGGACGGCAGGTGAGAAACTGGTTTCTCAAACCTTGCAGCTGGAAAGGCAGGGCAGATTCAACTTCTGATTGCTATCTGATTACTTGTTTCAATAAGTTCACTTCACGTGGCCATTGTGTTCAAGAGCTCCTGAAGGCACATTTCGGACTGCTGTAAAACACAGACAGAAAAACCACGTCTTCGATACGCAGTTCCAGCGTGTAGACGAGAACCACGCTCATCTGCAAGCGCGTATATTGTGACTGGAGCTCTCACCCGCTTTCAGAGACGTACGAGGTGCGATCGGAAAGTTTCAAGACTGCGCGTATAAAAACCCGTACACTTATCTCAGGTATTAAATTCATCCATCACCCTCGAAGTAGTTCCCCTGGGAGTGAACACAACGACCCCGGCGCCGCTGCCAAGCCTGGAAGCATCCCTGGAAATCTTTCTTTGCCAGCCTGTCAAGCACCATCTGCGATTCTGCCTGAATCTCTTCTATCGTCTCAAATCTCATTCCCTTTAGCTGAATTTTTGGTACGACGTCGATCTTCGTGAATGGCCTGCCGTATCTTCGTAACATTTTCGGGCGTTGTGCTCGAAGATGGTCGTCCAGAACGCTCGTCATAATCGCCAGAGGTTCGGCCATTTTTAAAACGTGAATGCCACACAAAAGTTTGTGCACGACCCATTGCGGACTCCCCAAATGCTTGCTTTAGCATTTCATAGGTTTCCGTAGCCGTTTTGGCGAGTCTTTGGCAAGAGATTCAGGCAGAATCGCAGATGGTGCTTGACAGGCTGACAAAAAAAGATTTCCAGGGATGCTTCCAGGCTTGGCAGCGGCGCTGGGATCGTTGTGTTCACTCCCAGAGGAACTACTTCGAGGGTGATGGATGAATTTAATACCTGAGATAAGTGTACGGGTTTTTATACGCGCAGTCTTGAAACCTTCCGATCGCACCTTGTAGTTATAGATCACTTGGGACTCAAACTACACAGCGGAACCTTTTCGAGCTGTGTCCTGTGTGCAGGTAGGCACAGGCCCCAGTTCTTGCGTTGGTCGTCGTCATTAAATTCAGACAGACAAGATGACCGGACGTCCCGGATCTTTCGATGTGGAGTCTGCCGACATTCTCACACAACTTACACGTGTAGTCTTGTGCTGTGGTCTCTGAATGACGAAACGTTTTCAAGTAAATCGCTGTTGCATTTTAACGTCCTTACATTTTATTCAAAGTAATAAAACGAAATCAACTTCGCGAAAGAGAGATCTTCTTGAGAAGCTCAAAGTCCCCCATGAGAGGCAACAAACTCCTGCGATCTACGGAACGTGAAAGATGTTTATCTGAGTGGAGGGGGGGGGGGGGTAACCTTAAGAAATTGCTCTGTTTTCTCCGTGTCAATGTTTAGGCCTACGCCTTGCCAGTTCTTTCTCCTTCACGTAAAATCCAGTAGAGCTTTAATTCTCGGCTTGTGTACATAAGCAGTGTTCGTCCAGACACGCAGTACACGCGAAAATATTATCCCACGCTGTCGAACTGAATCTGTTTTAAAACGCTCTCACTTGAGTTCGAAGCTACACGCAACAGAAATATTTGCTCACGTAGGCTGCGAGGGCAGAGGACAGCCAGTCTTCGGTTGAGTTTCAACTAAAAGCAGGTTCGGCTTACATACCCAAAATAAAATCCTCCTGAACAACTGATACATTCAGAAGATATGAATAACTTATTTTTTATATTCTTTTATAAGAAGTTATACCTCGTTTAAAACAGAGCAATAGTTAGAATTGCTGACGGAATAGACAGATATGATGCTGTTGACAAACACCAGTCAGAAGTTATTACAATTGGTTGTAAGAATGAATTCTGTTATTTTAAACAGAGGGGGTTTGCAAATGCGGCCAACACAATAGACCCCAGAGATGATTTAACAAAAGGCCAGTTTAATAAATTTTATGATCAAATCATATTAGGTAAACGATCATTAGATGATACTTTTATATCATTTTAAATATTTATGAAGTTAATTTTGAAGATAAGAGACTAAGAAATTTTGGGAGTTCATTGGCTCCAAAAGATTCGGCTAATTTAGATGAAAAGACTACACAGCGCAACAACCCAGAAGACAGAAATCTTCATACTCATCGCCCTGAGGATGGAGGCAGTATGACCTCCGAAACGTTGGTAAACATCGATCAGACTATACAGCGCAACAACCCAGAAGACAGAAATCTTCATACTAATCGCTGTGAAAACCTCAAATCTTACAAATAATAAATATATGAAAGATTATGGTCAATATGTGGAATTGACCTATTTAACCTATCTTGATGCAAATAACTTGTATGGAAGGGTTATGAGTCAGTACTTAATACAGGGTACATATCAGAGGTTGATTTAGTGTACACGAAAGACTTGCATGATAAACACAAAAATTAACCTTTAGGTCAACAAAATATAATAATCATTTTCTACAAGAGAATCTGCTTTTAACACCTGTCATTATTAAATATTACGAGTATGTACAAATACCGTACATCTCCGGTGTCATTTGCATTGATGAATCTTTCCTCTTTTCAATGGGGTAATATTTATATTTAAATTTATGGTGTTTCATAAACATGGCAGCCACGGTTTTATGCTTCTGTCCACTTGCACTACAAAACCGATCGTACTTACAGAGCATAGTGTTAACAACTGTTGTTCGTTCATGCTAATCTAAAGTAAAACGCTCATTGTACTCACATTATTGTTTCCGCTTCAAGTTATTCCTTCCTTCCTTCCACACAAATACAAAGTTTAGGCCGGCCTCCAAAACCACGCAGCTGCACATTAACGTTCTGCCTACGTCACACAAACTGTCCTGCGCGTGTCCACTATTGCCAACGTAAGCTTCATCGAGCTAAAGTACGGGAAAGTGTGACCGTAAGGCCATCGTATTAAGGAAAGAACGGAGACCATTAAAGTAAATGGATAACATAACAGAATGGTGAAGATGCTTAATCGGGAAATTCGTAGTTTGTAATCTTCTCCGAATATCAATACGATTATAAAATCAAAGAAAAAGAGATGGGCGGTGTATAAGGCCCAGCAGGTTGGTCATGCTGATATTCAACTCCGATAAAAGATGGCGCGGGTTTCAATGTTTGTGTGCAAGAGTGTGTTACAGGAAGTTACAGTTTGTCAAACTTGTCAGCGTAAGATTTCTGTGATCAGTTTGCTGAGTCAGATATCCAGTGAACACTTACAAAAACAAGTGCTTCAGTCAGTGTTTGTTGTGTTTTGGATTATGATGTGAATACCAAGTACAGCCAACTTTGTTTAGACGGCATACCAGGTTTGTATCTTTACACAGACCGACCTAATACCAGGTCGTACTTTGCTTTGCCAGTCTCAATGCACGATTTGGTGCTCTCAGACTCGATCATGAAGGAGTTAACTTTTACTATATATATAACTTTAATGTTTGAATGTGATTTTGCTTTCTTATTAATAGGACGTATTTCTGTCTGTTTTCTAAGCCTAATGTGTTATTATAATCAAGATACAATTACATGTTCTGTAATATTTATTAGTAAACTTGGTAGCTGTGTATTAGAAGAATGTAATTATGCCATTTTCCTCATAAAGAGGAGGTACACATGTTTTGCTGCAAAGTAGTTGTGTTGTTTTCCAATTCCATTTATTAGATCTTGTCTTCTCCTCAGTCTGCCCGAGACAAGGCAGAAAACATGATTAACAATTATTCATCTTATTCGTGGCAGACGTAGATGGCCTCCGCGGAACACCGGTTACGTATCACTGTTATATACAAACGAAAATGTACCAAGTACGTAATAATTGTCAGCTGTGAAACGCACTATTTGTGGGACTATTTGGTTCAGTCCTCTATTAAAGAGATAGCCGGTTCGAATCTTCCTCAGGGCGCCAGTTGTCGTGGTATCTTTCCTAGATCTTTCAGGATTAATGCCAGGACGTTATATTGAATAGGCCACGGCGGGGTTCTCCACCCCTTGATTATGCTCTCGTCCTATTCAGAGGCAAACAAGTGAACCCACAAGATAAGCCCATAAACCCTGTCCCGTGGGCTGGAAAACAAACAGAACTTTGGAAATTGTGGGCTCAGACGTTAGAGCCTTCGAAATTCTGGAGCATTGTCTTGCCCGCTTTTCGGACCGTTTTAGACTTTGAACCGGACTTTCTTAACGGTGGGCCCATCGCAAGGCCTGTCTCTATCTACAACACAGAAAGACGAGGACACATGTCCATGCCCCCAGTGGGAGTCGAACTCGCGATCACAAAATGGCAGCTGTGAAGGCCTACGCCTCAGATCGCGAGGTCACTGTGATAGCCTAATGAAGCTGTTGGATCCGTCGCGGAACGTCTGTATTGGGACAGATTCCAGTTGTAAGTTGCAGCTGATTGTAAAGATAGCTTTAAGTTACGTTAGATGCACTTAAATATTTAAAATATGCCTTGCCTCTCCTTTTAAGTCATTTAAAAAGCAAAATTCAGACTTTATGTTGTTCTGCGTTTTATATTGACAGACAAAAGCGTAACTCATACACACAAGTTACGTGTACAGGCTACATATTTAACTAATAGACACAAGTTACGTGTACAGGCTACATATGTGATGAAACACGGCGATGAGGGGAGATGTGGGTCATCGTATCTCAAGTCACGATGTAAATTTAGGTTCCTTGGTCATTGAACTAGGATATTGTTCTTGTTCAAGAAGAATTCAATAAACTAATGTCTTAAGTGTTTGGACCTGTAAATCTGCACAGACGTGTTTTAAAAGTTTTCGTCTCCATATGAACACGAAACAGAACTCCGGGTGAGACGAATGTCTAGATCACTAAAAGGCCATCTTAACTTCTGCACATGTTAGAAAATGATTCCTTCTGTATCGGGCATTCAAAACCTAAGGTCACAGACTCCACTTCAAGGTTGAATTTGATGACACCCGAAACACGAGGCAGAACGGCACAAGACAAACGAGTTGTTTCACTTTCTTTCTGGTTGGAAAAGACAGCGACTTCGAGGTTAAGGACTGGTCGACGAGCTTGTGATTACACCCGCAAAGCTTCTGCGCAACTAGATTGAGCAGCGGCGTAGCAACCAGGCTGAGCGTCACTCGAGTTTCACGGGGGAGGATCGGAGAATCTGTAACACCTGGTGAACCTGCTTCTGGTTTAATTTTTGCATTGCTGTACGTGATCGTTGCTGGGTTGCGTTTTAAATTGTAAAAATCTGTCACATTGTGGACTAGGAGATATATTTAAAAAAAGAACCAGCACTGGCCAAGAGATGCTATATGACTTTCTTGATAACTGGAGGGGTTTTATATTAAATTCATGTAACTGACTGAGACTTAGAACACAGATCTTCGCGTCTTTTATTATATTTTACAGTCTAAAAAGTACTTTTACTTGTATGACGTATATAAATCATACGCTTTGCGTTGTCCTACCTTTTTTTAAAGGTTTAGTTTGACAATGAACAGTTTCGAACTTCCGCTTGTGCAGAAAGCCAAGTCCACATTTATTAAAACAGGCAAACAGATAGGCGTACATATACGACCTCTTCATTACGCTTTCAATCAACGCACTTCACGCATTAACGTGTAAATATTTAAAAAAACATGTTTCTTCATCGAGAAAACACCGCATCTTGGTCACAAAAATCAGTAGCTCACTTCGGAAAATAATCGTCACGTATTCTGAGAAGCTGCAGGCAACCCACGTGAACATCCTCTGCTGGCTATAAGCCGAATCTTCGAGTGTTTAAGAATTTGGTGCGCTTGGCATGAAGAGATAAACCTAGCGATTACTGTATAAACCATGAGAACAATGCGCGCGTTAAGAACGCCTGATGCGCAGATAAACACCGTATTCCCCGCGGCCAGGTCGCATTATTTATTTATCTGCACTCTAATAGGTTATCTGTGGGTCTAAAGATCTTCGTGGCGCCTTTCGGTAAAGTAGATTGTCAAACATGACAGGGCAAATGACTTCCTTCATGGGCGCGTTGTTTCAAGAATTATTTTTATATATTAAATCTTGTCCGTCTAATCACAATAAATTGTTATTAAATATTAAAATATTACAATAATTAACATTTAAAATATTTAAAATATATTAAATGATGTTCTTTATCGAAATATTCGATTTACATTAGACCATAATTTAATATTTTAAATATTTTAAATGTTAATTATTGTAATATTTTAATATTTAATAAGAATTTATTGTGATTAGACGGACAAGATTTAAAATATATATTTATTATATCACAATATGACGCAACTTTACCATCTTAGAATTATTTTTATTTCGTTCTTGAAGCAGTCTGGTGTATTCTGATCAAGAATTAATCTGAGATAGTGAGACTTTGAACACGTCGTAAGCCGCTGGTTTGGTTGATCGGAACACAGTTACGTTTTGGCCGATAGAGACTCAAGATATCACAAATAAGGTGTGCAATGCGTGATGTGAGCCCAAACCACCGCGAACTTTGAAAACTCGGCCGTATTTAGGAGCTACGAGAGACCGTTGGAGGCCTTCGGGGCTGTTGGTCGCTGACGTTGGTCCTATTTTATGCGATACTACACGCAGATGTTGGATGTGTCGTCAATGTTTCGCAGATCCATCTTCAAGGCGAAGTGATTGCCCAGGGAATGGAGAAGTCAGTCATTGTAGTGACCAGACTAGGACTTACACCGTACGGGTTCGATTCTCGACACAGCAGAATTCGTCCAGGCTGAGGTTAAACAAAGCGCGTGGAACTACACCATTTGAGCGCGAGCGAAGAAATGGAACGACGAATACCCACAGGGGCCGGCTTCAATCATGACACGGCTGTGAAATCTAGCGCGAAAGGGTCTGTGACCCTGAAGGAAAAGTTTAACGTTCCTCTTCGCACTGCCGAAGTTAAATCGGAGTGTTCGTGGAGAGATCTACCGCCCGGCCTCCAACAGGAAAATCCTGGAACACACGTCGATTTCTTCTGAAGTTTGTTTACGGGGACAGAGTTCTTTCTAGTTTTTTTTTATTTTATATCTCGCTCTTCCAGTCTTGTTT